CCTGTCCCCGCCGCCCGCACGGCCCCGCGCTAATTAAGCAGCGCGGCGCGCGTTCCTTGGCCATCACAGCCGCCCTTGGACACGCTGCAGAGAAAAGGCTGGAGCTTCACAATGTTAGCCTTCCAAGAACCGCTTTAATTGCCCAGTAATGCACACCCTGGGGTCTTGTAATGTGCTTCTAATATGGAGCATTTAAAATATGAATACTCCAAAACAATTACAAGGAGTTTGGAGCTCTGCTGAGTGTATCCTTCCACTCTGAAAAATAATCCATGACAAAGGAATATGCTCAAAGTGCGGATCCCGGTGCCTTCTGAAATCTGGCGGGGTCTCCTTGGGGCAGCAGGACGCACCACTCCTTCCCTTAGCATGACCGACCTGCTAGGCTGGGACTCCAGATGATTCAGGCCTACCTCATCTCCCTCTGATCAGCCCTAGTATGATGTTTTTAATTGAGATGCTGTCTAAAGACTCTGCCAGCAACAGTAAGAGAGGAGAAACCACGGCGTACGTCAGGCTGTAAGAGAGTTTGGATAGAAATGTCAGAGGAGAGAGGGACATTTCCTGTGATCTGTCATTCTTTTAGCAAATAACTTCTGGACAGGTTGAGAAGTGATTTTTTACTTCCTTATTTACAAGGAGTGAAAAAAAAGTTCTGCTTCTCGGAAAGGACTATGGCTCAGCTAATTTTAACTTCTAATATTTCCTTCTACATTCTTGACCAAATTTGATTAGAGCTTGTTACAGTTGTCTTAGTGGGAGAGATGATTTTTGTCTGTCCATCTGTATACAGAATCAGCAAAAGGAATTGCATTAAAACTGCTGAAAGTAACGAAACAGAAATCAGACATTGGAAATTCATGATCTAATGCCGAACGTTTAAGAAAGTCAGAGGCATTTAGAAACAGGCAGTTGGTTTCAGCTGGAGCTGTACGCGGTGTTAACTCTAGAAAAGAGTTACTACAAGCCAACTACGGTAACTCATGAATTCCAGGAATGGATGTATAATTCACAGTAAGATACTATGTACTGTAATGACACTATGTGCCATTACTTAAGATAATATCACATATTAAATTCAGCTCGTGAAATGAAGTTCAGTTGTTTTACTGCAATCAAAGATCTATAAATGTCCTGTTGCTGAAACTTCAGAAGGTTACGTATTGCATCGGCGTATATTCTCCAAAACTCAAAGTAGACAACTCACGCAAAAACCTCCCACTGGAAAATGAAAAATGGGTATTTACAGTAAGTACCAGTTTATGCCCCTAATTAAACACAAATGCTGTTATTGGAGTCACTGACTGTGATGGAATTAGAGCAGGGATGAATTTAGTCCAAAGTGACAATTTCTTTGGAGAGAAGAAAGGCATTTGAAAATATCGGCATTTACTTCAGGAAATCAGCACTGCTGACTGGCGTGCCAGGATTTCTGTGCCTTCTGCTTTTGGGAAGGGCTGAGGAAGCGTCTTGTCTTTCTCCGGTGTCTAGAGGCAAGAACAAGCCAGCAAAGGCAGCAAGGGGTGATCAAGGATTTTCTCCCTCATGCACAGCAGTAATCCAGAAATCCCAGGTTTGAGGCAGCAGAGCTGGCTTAGTGCGCATTCAGGCTCTGGTGAGGGCGAGAAGCGTTCAGCAATCCCAGAGTCTAAAGACAGCATTAGACCAGGTCAGCTCTGCTCATCTCTCCCCTGCTGTTTCAGTAGGTGGTCTCATGTAGGACCTGCTCCCTCGAAGCCTCTCAGAGCGGCAGCAGTGATGCCTGGCTGTCCCGCTGTTTGTCACTGCCCCTAAACGAATCGGCCTGGGGCGGCACTGCTGTCTGCCGTGCTGAGCGTCAGGGGCCTGAAAGCGCTCCCCTTTCCTTACCACGCCAGAGTCCGGTGGTAGGACACAGGAGCGCTGCTGGGGAGAGCCTCCTCATGACCTGCCTCTTCTTCTGGCCATGGGAAATACCTTCTACCTGCGACCTCGTTCGGTTTGCTGTGCGTTTGATGCCAAGAATTGTTTAACCCAAGCCACTGGAGGTTGCACAGCCAGAACTGCTCGCCTTGGCTCCCTCTTTCCAGACGCTTCCTCTTGACATAAAACCAGTTTCATTCTTAGGAGGGGGACGTTTCTGAACAGAGCCTTTCACCTCTGGGTCACTAGCTGAGATCTGGCCCTGGTTGGCAGTGACCGAAAATCATTACCAGCTGACGGCTACTTGGTGAAATGAGCTGGTGAGTCTCGTTCCAGTTCCTGACGGACACATCTCAGCAAACACAGTCACAACTGGCACTAACTGGCATTCTCAGCCGAGAGACCACGAACTGAACCGGGAAGGAAACTGAACCTTCCTCTTCGTCCCCTGCCTGGGTTTTTGAAGCGTTATGGACAGGCTTTTTACACCACCGTCGTTTCACAGGCTGGTTTTACTCTAAATGGCTTTTCAAAACTTTGCAATTTCCATGCAGCGTGACTCAGCACAGCCTGGTCGGCCATCTCAGTATAATTAAGCTCATCTTATGGTTCCCCTCAGCAGCAGCTGAGCTGCCCGCTGCCACCGCCCAGTACGAATGGCGAGGCTGATGTCATATCTCAGTATGAATGGAGCCATCTGATGTCACCTCAGTGCTAACTGGACGTTTTACAGTGCGTCATCCAAGGCTGCAGGGGAAATCTAATCCGTTCACCATGCTATGCTACAACAGAACGTAACGCAGTATAATGTGTAGGGTAACTTAAACACCCTCAGGCAGATTTTGGGTAGACGGACAGATGGATGGATGGATAGATACATTTATACAAAGTATACATACATTATATCACTCTATTGATTTTTAAAAAGTTCCAGGTCTGCCTGGCTATAATGAGATTTTTGAACTTTGTGTTGCGATCAATGAGGGGAATATTATTGGCCTGGAGAATTGATATACCCGCTCTCTGTGGCTTGTTCTGCTCCTGGACTGCCCCTGCCCCCAAGGTGTACGATTCCATCAGACACTTAACCTCTTTTACAGTGTCATCAGGCTAAAAGGAATCTAATAGTGACACGGGACTTGTGCTCAGCACTCTGGCACTATTGCTTTCCTGTCACAAATAATTTATAGCTTTCTATTTCCATCCCTTCGCCTGCACCCCATCCCCTCTTTCTGTTTCTCTGGGCTGGGGGAAATCAATAAACTCACACAACCAGAGTGGCACTTCAGGGGGTTTTAGGGGGAATGTGAGAGAAGAGAAAAGAAAGGAAAAAAACACAAAACAAGAAAAAAGTTATATTATTTGCCCTAGCACAGACTTCTCAGGTCAGCTCCTCATCTAGTGCGAACCAGCCTGACCTCGGAACCTGGCCCAGAGGCCCTCAGGCACCCGCTGCACGGGTCCTCAGCAGCTACGGGCTAGGGCCCCGGTGCCACTGACCCGCGTGGGCTGAGGATCTGCATCTCCATCCCCGGCCAGAACCGCGACATTCCCTCCCTCCGGCTATGTCCCAGGCAGCCTCTCTGCCACTCCAGCTCCTGCCCAGGCTTTGTCCTGTGTGTGTCGGAGTTTCCTAACACACTGCGGTGATACGCTCTGAAATACCCTTCTTTCCTACGAACGTTTCACTCTCAGGAGCTGTGCTTTTTTACAGATGCCCTCTCAGCGCCTCTATCTCCATCCACGCCATACTCCCCACAAGCCCCACTTCTGCTCTTTGAAGTTTTGCCAAGCTTCAGAACGAATCCTTCAGGGAGGCTCTAGGGTGGGCAGGGAGAACGCGTTGTTTGCTTTCACTTTCTGGAGAGGTTTTTGGGGAGAAGTTAAAGCTAATCAACACAGGGCTCAGAGCGCCAGAAAGTCAGGCTGAAGAGCATCTGCAGCCTTCACCCTAACTGGAGACGCTGGTTTTAGTCTCAGGAAGGAGTGTGGTCTCCACAGCCTCCATGGGTCATGGTGTCAGTGAGACTGGCGCTCCCGAGGCACAGGTACCCAGCGTCTGCCGGTGGACAGGGACCTTCCCAGCCCAGGACCAGGTGCGAGTGACTTTCTTTAACCACTGACCTCAGCTGGGTTTAAACCAGTGACCTAGAGGTGACAGATTGCGTGTAACAAGAAACGGAGCACTGACAATTAGAGCTCAGTTTATTTTCATTCTGAGCTGCATTATGAGCTTTGTGGCATTCCCTGAGACATCTTTTTGAGTTCCCATGCTGCGTTCATTCACCACCTGATAAACACCGATTTTTGCCCTCTTTGCTGGAGCTTCTTTTTCCTGGTGATCTGTATCCCATTGTCAGCTCCTACAGATGCCTTCTGCTCCCACCTTCCCCTTTATGAAGGGCGAGGGCTTTGGGCAAGCCTTCCCTCCGTTCACAGTGTTCAGTGCTATGCCAGAAAGGCATTTTTTAGGTATACAACAAAATTAAGTCTACACCATTTGTAAATCCAGCAGTGGCTCTGTTAGCTGCAAAGACTGCCTTGTGGGCATGCTGGCAGATCCGACCATAAATGACAATGCAGTTGCTAACACACAGGAGATATAGAATCATAGAATCACAAAATTATTAGGGTTGGACAAGACTTCTAAGATCATCAAGCCAAACTGCCAACCCAACACCCCCACGCCTGCTAAACCATGTCCCCAGGTGCCACATCTGCATGGTTTTTGAACCCCTCCAGGGATGGTGACTCCCCCACTGCCCTGGGCAGCCTGTCCCAGTGCCTGACCACTCTTTCAGTGAAGAAATTTTTCCGAATATCCAATCTAAACCTGCCCTGGTGCAACTTGAGGCCATGATCCTAACTCATTCACTGAGCACCACAGTCACACAGTGAACATCCACGTTTCGGAAGAAGATGAGAGAGCAGAGCTAGCGCAGTTCTCTGGGAACGGGGCCAATAAAGCGGTAGAATGAAGGCACTCTGCGGCACCCAGAGCTCAGCTCGGGCTTGGGGTTCTGGTAGCCGGGGTCGTGGGTATGCGAAGGCACAGAGAAGTTGCAGTTGAGTTCTGAACATGCTTTGCTCTCTTCCAGGATCATCAGAACCAAAGTTCAGCAACCTTTTCACCCAACCCCAGACGGGAGCGGGACGGGCGTGACGGCACCAGGACATACTATCGGTAAGAAGACTGGCATGAGGCATGCTGGCAGGAGGAGTGGAAATGAGGATGAAGCATAGTTGAGGAACAAAGTCTGACAAGCAGATGCTAAGCAGAGCAAAAGGGAGGAGGGGGTGGGGGAAAGAAACCTCAGTGGACATCAGAGGTTTCTGTTCTTCTTTTCCCTCATTGCACTGCAGAGAAGGGAATCATGGCAGAGAATCCAGCCCGAGGTAGGAGTTTGCCCAGAGCGATTCTGCCTTAACATCCATTTCACGTTCACGCTTTCTCCTTCACCTCCCTAGAGAGAAGTATTTGCCGCTATCCTGTCTAAGCACCAGTCTTCACCTTTTGTCTCCTCCTTACTCTGACTCTGTTTTCCCCCCTCTCTCCCAGTTTCTCTTCTCTCCCTTTGCTGGAACTAGTCCATTTCTTAGAGCTAGTAATACACAGACCAGGGTAAGGTATTCCTGATGCCTCACAACCGAGTTCTTCATTGTCCTAGCTCTGCAGTCAGGTATCCTATGGGTGTATTTCATTGACAAAACGCATTTTCCGCTGGGGGAGATGGGCTTATCAAGGTGAGCAGAAGATGGAGGCTGTCATAAAGTGACCAGACGTCTCCTAGTCTGTTGTGTTTAAAGGTGCTGTGGTGGATGTGTGGGGAGGTACTTTTCACTGATGCCTCTGTCAGCTGTATGGTCTGCTGTTGCTAGCACAGCTTTATCGAGTAACAATTCAGAGCAGGAAAAAGCATGCAGTGTTGTGGGATACTGTGAAATGCAGCGGCTTATTTGTGGCCTAAGTCACTGTCTTGGATACTGTCAGTTACTGAGAATCAGCTGCTATAGGACGGTTTACTGGAAGGTGCTGGTCTACATGGGACAGAGCCGGCAGATCTAATCCTGCACACGAACTGTGTTCAGGAGCACAATGAAATTAATGGGCCAGTAGGTTTGGGAATCACTGACCACAACAGATGGAGTTGGCAGATATTATTCCTTCTTGGAAAAGTAGTGCAATGTCTAGGGAATGCATCGGCCGAGCTGGAACAGTGATCGTGTGTGCTGCTACTGGAGTCTCTCGTTGCTCTGGGATGTACTGGGACATGTGGGTCTATATCGGACAGTCTTGACAGGTTCTGCTCCATCCTGGAAGGCTTGTATTGGAGGTGTCGATTGCTTCAGGTCAGTGCTTCATGAGCTGAGTGATGGGTAGTGGCCTACAAGAGAACTGGGGTATCCTCCCCACTACTGGGACATGCTGAGACATAACGGGCATGCCTGCTGGATATATAGCTCTGCTTGTTGTATACTCTAAAGCCTTGATTATCATGAAGTGATCATTTCTAATCTGGATGACTTGTCATTTCTGATCTGTTGGAAACTCATGAGCGATCTTGGACAGCCCTGAGTGGCAAAAGGAGTCTGTCTGTTGACACTGGTCAGTGCAACAGGAAGGGTTTTGTTAATCTGGTTGGAGTACGTATCACCGACTCACTGCGTGTTCTAGCAGGCAACTGAATTTATGGACCCAGCACTGAAGTGCTTCTAAGCTATGCTAAGATGGTAATTTTTCAGTGAGTGTTTTGGGTGGACGTGTAAGAGGCTTGTCTGGCTAAGGCGGAACATGTGCGCTGCTGGTGGAGAAATGCTGAGAGGAAGTAATCTGGCAAAATACGGGTGGGCTAGGAAGCCACTAGAGAATGTGGCCTGTGCAGCATTGCACCCCGTTAGCGTGGCATGCACTGGGAAGCCTGCTCCGAACTGGGATATGACAACAAGCTTTAGCTTCTTGATGGAATACGCGTGCTTGTTATTAATGGCCCTGTACTGGAAGGCTGTGGAGCTGTGGTATAGGAACAGACTGGCATAGCTGGGATGCAGCAACGTCAGCAGCAGAGCGAGTACGAGTCCTGCAGTGTGAGGGACCGGGAGCCTGCGCAGTGCCCAGGCTCTCCTGTGAGGCCGGTGCCACGTGTAGCTTTGAGCTAGGGGGTCCCTGCGTGCTGCGCTGCTCTCCTCATGGCCCTTTCTCCCTTTTCCTTTTGTCCAGTGCCCAGCACAGCATCCCCTCCCGTCTCCAGTGCCTCCAATGATCCAGTGGGCTCTTACTCCATTAACGGGATCCTGGGGATTCCTCGGTCGAATGGCGAGAAGAGGAAACGTGATGAAGGTAGGGGGAGGGGAGAAGCTCATCCTCCCTTTTATATTCTTTGTCCCCATGTACAGGCTCCAATTTCAGGCCAAGGTTTGCAGCTGCTCCAGGGGCTAGATCAGTTTTAGCAACAGAGACCAGTTCCCCGCCACTGCCCTGCTGGCTTGGAATGCTCCTCTTCCGAGGCCCTGTCACGACAGGCTGTGTCTCCAGACATCTGCTCGGCAGGCAGAGAGCCGTCTCCATTGCTGGAGCTGATCCCAGGTTCATTCACTGCTGGAAACGGCTGGAACTGAACTCCCCAGGTGCCAGCAGGTGCCCAGACTTTGAACTGTGGGTAGACACAGTTTCCCTGACTCTCTTGTTTTCAAACAAAATGCCATCTCGGAGAAGCACCAGCAATGCAGGAGTCACCTTTCCTTCCCCTTGCAAACAAGTTCCTGCCTTGTGACGTGCCGTGAGCTACGTTAGCTGGCCATCATGAGGGCCCGGTGGGTAGCATCTACCACAGCAGAACTGCCGTGCTCGCAACAGTCTGAAAGCAGAACAGGAGGTCTTCCAAGCGCTGTGATCCCTCAGATGTTAGCTAAGCATTTCGCTAGGGCTCCAGGGAATTAGGATTGAGCTATCTATCTCCTTTTCCTTCCTACCTGCTGGGAAGGACTCAGGGCAAAGTGAACCCTGAAATGAGCCAGAAGCTGGAGCCTTGGGTCTAGTCCGGAGGGGCGGGTACGGTCTTGGTGCTCTTATGGTGGCTTTGTAAACTTTTTTTCTTAATTCTTGCTCTTTTAATTTGATGCATTCAAAAACTGAGGGCCAGGAGGTGAACTGTTCTAGTAGTGCCTGACCAGCGCGTCCAGTTCAGCCCTGCCTTCGGGGCGTTGCTTTGCACTGCTGCCTGCTGCGCGGGGACACCTCTGAGCAGTGCCGGTGGCTCGCCATGCTGCGTGCACTGCAGCCCCAGGGCTGCGCGGTGCTGGAGAACGCGCGGGTTCTCTGCGATACGTGGGGGGACAGAAAGCTCTCCTGAGAGCGACGTTGCATTCTGGGGTTTCGCTAGTGGTTTTCTCACATGGGTTCTGGTGAGGTACACATCTGTAAGGTTTTGATCCCGATAAACACAATAATCCCAAGAAAAAACAGCAGTCATCGTGACCCCGTCCTCCGTAACACAAAGTAAAACCAGACGCAAGGTCCCAATCCAGCTGCTATTAAAGCAAATGGGAGGATTTTTGCCAATGCGTTGGAAATTGGATCAGGCCCAGAGGAAGATCCATTTCCCAGCTAGATGGCAGCAGGGCCCAGCTAAGAGAAAAGTGCAGCCATGGAAGAAGGGCTGAGCCAATGCCTCAAAGTCAAAAAATGTCAGGAATAAGAGACCGCAAACCTTGCAAACCCCTCCAGCATCTCCCATCATTATGTATACGGGAAATAGTGACGTTTCAAACTGAGTGATAAGTTTCTCTAACAGTTGTGCAAATCTCTTGGCAGTTATTTGGGGTTTTTGTGAACCCTCGTCCTCAGTCTAGCGTGGTGATCACCAGCTCTCAGCATGGTGCCTCCATATCTCATTTTGCGATGAAGCAGTTCAGACTGGCTTCAGCAGCTATTCTTTCCAAATACCTGGAAGGATCATCCCACTTTAGATGCAGCCATACTGCCGCTTCCAGCCTCAGAACCTGAGCTTTCCTTGAGCAGTACAGTCAAACACAGTAACAGCCAAGCAGCCATCTAAGACTGTGACAATTCACGATGATACACTGACAGTAAGAACAACTCTCCGCACCTGTCTGTAGTTCATCCCAGATTTGATTTATAAAGGGCAAGCACCACTCTGCAGCTCCTTGCTGTTGGCCAAGAGCCCACTTATCCTACGAGGAATCAAAAAGGCACCAGACAATCCTGGAGACGTTGCTTGTCTTCAGCTCTCAGCGTTTTAGGTGGCAGCTGCATGAGAACAGCCTTCATCCTGCCATCCCAGAAAGCTGCTGCAGGGAGACGTCGCAATCCTGTCCCGGAGGAGCCTCGCGTGGGACCCCCCGCCAGCTGCTGACCCCGAGCCAGGAGCTGAGTTATCTGGGCTCACACTGGCCTAAAGAAATGCTGACAGACCTGCTCACTTTGCAGGGCTGGGTCCTACGGCCAGGAGGGTCCAAGGGGAGGCTTTGCACAGCCAGTGACCTGTGTTCACTCCTGGGTGATCTCCCCTGTAGCTCTGAGGGCTCTGGTCACTCCTAGCTGGGATGGGGATGAGGAAGGCCAGGCAGGAAACCCCGTGCAGGTAGTTCTTTCACGCTCACGTTGGATGTATGCACCTTCTCAGTACTCCCCAGAGATTTTGAGCACTGTTTTGTTGCAGTTTTTTAACCGCAGGGTTTAGTCTCGCGTTGAAAAGCTCTTGTCTCCCCTGTAGCTCTGAGGGCTCTGGTCACTCCTAGCTGGGATGGGGATGAGGAAGGCCAGGCAGGAAACCCCGTGCAGGTAGTTCTTTCACGCTCACGTTGGATGTATGCACCTTCTCAGTACTCCCCAGAGATTTTGAGCACTGTTTTGTTGCAGTTTTTTAACCGCAGGGTTTAGTCTCGCGTTGAAAAGCTCTTGTGAGCTCCCGATGCTCTTCTGCTTTCCCAGCGTTTTGGGGGTGGCTCTTCCCTAAAGGCGGCAGGGGAAGAGGCAGGGGGGGGGGGACCGCT